TGCTGATTCAACGTTATCCAGATCATCATCAACTGTATTTTCGATATTTTCGATAAACTCATTTTTGTTTAATCTTTTCGTCATACTTTCTTTTAGTTCGTTGACATTTTTTTTGATTTCGAATTGAAGATAGTCCAAACATTTAGATTGGCACCTTTCTAGACAATTATTACAATAACCATGTCCACACGTGAGCATATACATTACAATTATTCAAATTGGTATAGTTAGTGTAATCACAATATATGTAATCGCAAAAATGTTGGTAGATGGTTTCCTAGAAGTAATAAAGCCTTTGGAAGGTGACGATTGGTTATTTCGTAAACTAAAGAAGGTAATTTGTATTAGTTAATACCATTAGATGAAGTTTTAGTAATCAAAGAATACTAATTTCGTGCTTGATGTATCTTCGTAAACACATCTAAAAGCAATACAGCACGCCTTTGGGAAAGCATATGCAATTGCTTCAGTGTATATGGGTATTTCATGGAATCTATGAAATGTTGTCAAAAAGTATTATCCTTTCGATGCTGAAAAATAAAACGTATCTCCTTTTTCAGTTGTTGTGCAGTGAAAAACTTGGCCGTACGTCATCAAATAATGCTGTGAATGATTTCTACAGTATTATCACTTAAAGAGGCGAGATGATTAGTAACCATATCAATCATTGGATGATTTATCTCCATCCAATAAAAGACTAAAAATTACCTGAAAATTTATTTGAATTATCATTTACTTCATGTAAAGCAGTATCTAGATGTTTTTTTATTTGTCTCTTCATTTTTTTTATATTCTTTTTCACATTGGCCTTGTAAAATTATTTCTGAGGAAAATGAAGCGTGGTCACCTTGAATAGGATTGGTATCTTCATTATTTTCATGACTTTTATCACGACTTCTACCAACTGCTATAACTTCATGACTTTCGCAACTTCCCTATGAAAAATAAGTCGGAAATTCCATACAAATTCCGTGTTTTGAGATTTTTTGGGCATGGAAAATGTAAAGAAAATTTTCTATATAGAAAATGTACGGTTTTGTACTGAAAATGTATGGAGAATTTTGGGAATTTCCCATTCCAAAAATGTACAGTTTTATATGGAAAATTTCCTATTCCACGAGCATACAGCACAGCATTGGTTTTATTTAAAAGTCTATATCATCACCATCAATATAATTAATTTCAGTTTTTCTATTTGGTGGTCTAAAAGATAAAAATCCTACACAATGGTCAATTCCAATTATTTCTATAAATTTAGTAGAGCTATAATCTTCAAAGTATTTTAGGCCATATTCAGTGAACTAATGCTAGCATATGGTCTTTTCCATTATAATTATAATAATATAATATAAAATTTTTCCAAATTTAATTATTTCTTTTAAGTCTTGAGGTGCATTTTTCTTCTAGCATTTAAATTAATAGTCATATTAATCTAATTGATGAAAAAAAAAATATTAGAATGCATTTTACATTTGATATTAAAATTAATTATTTAACATACTGCACAATTTTATTGGTATCAGTTTATTTTTAATAACAAAACTTTCACACATGACAGGAACATAAAGTTTTAGTTATTTATGAGTACCTAAACTACAAACTATTAAATTTTACTGAATTTTATAATATAAAATTTTGATAAAATTATTAAAAATTCACAAAGATAATCCTTGGTGTTCGTTTTTTTTTTTAACTAAAAATCGTAAAAAGAAAGTTAGTAAAATGAAATTTTATATATAGAGTCGCCAAAACCTAAGCCATATATGATATAAATTTTATGTACTTTCGTTATGCTTTAACTCATAACAAATCAATATTATGGCTATTTCTAATCTCAAAGCTCTTGCATATAATATCTTAAAAGAATTCAAAGGACCCATTGTCAATGATATGGATATTCCAGAGCTAGGGAAGTGCTCAGAATACGATAAGAAGATTATTTTGCCTCCTCATATCAAATCTTTCACAACGTTACAATGTGGTCATACGTTTCATAGACTTTGTCTCGAAAAAAAGATTTTACTTGCTTATCCGAACGTATGCCCTTATCCCAATTGTGATGAAAAGCTTGAGATAATAGATTACACTAGGCGTGATTCTCACTCAAGTGGAGTATCATCTATAACTAGTAATCTAGGGAAGAATTTACAAATCGATGTAGTTTAATCCATAAGTGAAAAAATCCAAAGTATGAGTATCCGGAACGTATAAAAGCATTTTGTCAAAAAAGGTTGATTTACTGCAACATACAAGACTCCATCTTGAAATAAAAAATTTAAAGTACGAATATTATGGATGCATAAAGCATTTTGTCAAAAAAAGTGAATTAATACAACATACAAGACGCCATCTTAAAATAAAAGATTACAAGCGTGAATACCCAGGATGTGCCAAAACATTTTGTCAAAAATGATTATAATTTATTTTTAATTAAATTTTATTCTATGCATAGATGATGTTATAAATAAAATTTGCTATTAGTATTAGTAAATAAAGTCTTTAGAAAAATCTTATCACAAACTTCGATATCTCAAGGTTTTACATCATGCAATTCGAACTTAGCTCCAAATTAATTTATTTCCAAAGCAATTTATTGTATTCAATCTGCTTAATACCAGTAACCACAATGGTAGCTACGGACTTTTATTTAATTCTATTATATGATTTATTTTTATTATCATGAACACAATGCTAAATGCCATTTTATAGTTTTATGATTAAATAATTAAATAATAAATAAAGTCTATCTATATATATCACTAAAATTGTAATAGAAGTCAGTCAGCAAATTGGAGATCTAAACATTATATTAATGCAAATCATTATTTCATATTTTAAAAAATTATCGCTTACCTATTTACCACTCTCGAACCAGTTTTTTCCCACTATGCTTTCATTATATGTTATATTCCATGAATTCAACTTTCCAAACACATTCCTGTTAATCACATATTCACAGTCAGGACCACAACACTTTCCAATCTTACACAACTCCACATAATCTATTTCATTTACCAACTTGATCACATTTTCGTTCACAACATCATTCTTTATAAACCTTAGTAATCGATCAATGGTTACTCGTCTATTTGCATCTTTGGCATATTCTGCGTAAATTGCCAAATCAAGATTCAGATTCTTAGGAATCTCCGGACCAAGGAACTCCAATAATTCAAAATATTCCAACGTCACGCCATTCCTATCCAGCACCTTTTTTGCCAACTCGAAATCTGCAACTTGACAATCCCCTTCTTGACATTCAAAATTATAGAATCTTCTTCCCACAGATGTAAATATATATGAAAACCAATACTCATAGTAGTGTCTGGAATCTAAACTTATAACTGTTGTATTTTTTTGCATGAACAATGCAGCGCCTATCCCATTTCCGTGCGGTGTCACCAATATATCAATATCCGACAAGAGTTTCGCAGTTTCCTGTAGTGAACATCCTGAATCAAAATCAAGAAGTTTTACAATGAATTTATGGCCTCCTCCTTGATCATTTATTAATGCATCAATTAATTTGTCAAGGTTTAAGATTCTACGACTATTGTATCTTTGTAAGATTCCTATTTTTATTATTATATCTGATTATGCAGATGAATTGGATGTGATTTCTCTTGATTTTCCTATGCATGTCAAGTTTAAATTTGCATTATTTGAATAAAAATCCCATTTCCCATTATCAATGTAATATGAAAATATATCATTTCTAAATTGTTCGTAAACCGTCGATGGAATGTTTCTTTCACAATACCATAATGAACATCTATTTCCCGTTCCTTAATTTTATAAAAAAATATCTAGTTAATTAGCTCGTGTGCACCTTAAAACAAATTTGGAGTTAATAATAAACTTAGCATTAACTTTAATTTTAACTAAAAATAAAAACCTACCAAGGACCCCTCTTGCGAAACAAATTGGCGTTCTTGGAGCCAAAACCTGTTGTGGAGTTTGTATTTCATTTAGATGGTTCACAATTTCTTTCCCTTCATCCGCCAAAAACATTGTATCATGTCCAGAATGTGTACGCAATGAATTATCCACTCTCAATATCCATGACCTTCTTGTTGCATTAAACTCACGCATTGTACTGTACAACGGGATCAGGCCATTATAAAGCCAATGTGAGAAATGATATGGCGCATATAAGCCATAAACAAATATTGTATCGTTGATGTATTGTATTTTATGAGATTGAAAGTCAGATAACTTACGCACATTGGGCTGATAGTAGTGGTCTGAAGGCTCATCTGAGCTCATTATATTGATTTTCGGTATTGTTGAGGAAAAATCAATGGCTTGTTTTTTGTCACCAAGTATAAATGCGCCTAGATGATATATTTAAACAAATGAAAACGTATATATATCTAACAAATAAATAATACAACAAACTAACAAACTAACCATTACTATCTACACAAAAATTTGTAACTTCGCATATCCTTCCTCTTCCTTTACCCGTACACTTCCACTCACTCTCCTTGGTTATAATGTCATGAAATGCAAAAATATTATCTTTCAAGATCAAAGAAGGATTTGATGAAGAGTAATAATAATAATATGTTAGGAGTGTTATAGATGATAATAAAGATAGGAAGAGCAACAAGAATTGACAAAATTTCTTGTTAGCTGATATTGATCTTGGAAACATTCTAAAGTGTCAAGTTTTTTTAAAATTAACAAATTAACAGAATTACAAAAAAGGCAATTCGTCACACTCCCATTTTAATAATTTCTACATTCCCCAAATTTCGACTTTTCGTGCAGTCCACTGATATACGTGTGTGTCACATTATATGTCAAGTTTTTTATTATTATTTCTAACCTTGGATTAAAGTTCAATAAAACATCAAAGCAAGGGTTTATTTTCCAACTCTACCCAAAATTTAAATTTCTCGCTTTCAAGTTAATTTATGCACGCAATTCATTTATTTTGTCTATTATTAATATTAATCCTTCTTAGACAGCCTTCAATTATCTGAGTTTAAATATATATAAGGAGCTACCTTGTTTTTTTTGTTTTTTTTTTTGTAATTCTTGGGTTCATGATAGTTATTAATATATTGAAATTTTTATATACCATATATGTCATTTAAAAAAGTAGAAACAAAAATAAAATACAAAAATTCTTTAATGAAACGAATAAATTATATATAATACATTAAAAAAAAATGAATGACAAACATAAATAAAACCTGAACATGAATAAATAAATTAAAATGATAACATTCGATAATTATTCAGTTTAAAAGTTTCTTCCTGCCATAACATTTCCAAGTTTATTTGTCAATTTTCTTGCTTTAGACATTTTTCTTCGAGGTACAGATCCGTCTCTACTTGTTGTAGTTTCCGATCTTTCAGGGCTTTCAACTCTTGTACCACTTGGAGAACCCAGTATGCTATTATGTCTGCCGCCATTATCATCGTCATCATCGATCAAATCTCTGAATTTTTTACAGTAATACATTTTATGTGGATTGGCGGGATCATGTAAGTGTCTGAGCAACTCGTCACGAATTCTGGAGTCAGCTGCCGATTGATTTGCCAAATCATGTGATTCCATTGCTTTAATTGGGTCGGTGATTATTGGCTCATGCTCAGTTTCTTGAATTTCATTATCTTGAATCAACTCCGAATCTTTCTTACGACCTAATATACGACTAAACCATCCTGGTCCTTTTAATAATCCTGCCTTTACTCTTTTAACTGGAAGCCATAGCCAAGGTAAAGTGCCAACCAATTCAGGTGCAACGTAATTTCTCATCCCAGTGTTCAGAACTCCATCAAATAAAGTCATTGGCGGTTGACTATAATCAGTGTACATGTCTGGTGCTGCATGGTACAAATCATCTTCCAACACATCCCTTTGAGATTCACCTTCTACAGTTTTTCCTGCAGCAGAAGAACCACCGCCTGCACCACCACCTGACGATGAAGAAGTGGCAACATTGCTATTGGTTTGTGGGTTAGAATTTTCACTATTGGTGACTGCTGTTGGATTGGTTTTGGAATCCTTTTGTTTAAAGGTGACATGGTCAGTATGGTCTGGCAATTGTTCTTCTGCCTCTTTCAATTTTTCCAATGGAATGAATTTAGAATTACGATCATATGCTGAATTAACAAACTGATAAAAAAACATAGTAGCTATAATGACTGGTAAGAGAGCAGCTGCCAGAAAATAAGACTCTCGAAGTGCTAAATAACCAATCATCAATATTTGATATATGTAAAGTCCAATTGTAATCTGTTGAAAAATTTTAGGCCAAGCAAGACCAGCAGTTTCATATGGATGGAAATACACTAAATATTTATTTGTTTCAACAAAATAGATAAAATATTAATAATTAGAAATTAATTTTTCAATTAATTTTATCAAAGTATATATATATATTGATTTTCTCTTTTTTAATAAAAAAAAAATAATATAGTTTCCTAGTGCACACATACCATATAATAACAAATATTTATATGCAATATAACCAAGGAAGAAATAAATAGCACCAAAAGGTAATATTACTGGGGCAAGAGAAGAATAAACTAAAACTAGTACAAAAATTAAAACCATTGGTGGTAATTCTTCTCCGTAATCCAAAAATGGTGGTGCATTAGCTTCAGCATAGTCTCTAGGTGTTTTTGAGATTAATCGATAAAAAAGGGTCATTGAGACTTCTCTCAATTGTAATAAGTGTATTGGGAATATACCAATTCCTTGAAGTATTACAAAATTAATAAAGAATGGTGCTACCTATACATTAAATATATAGATGGTGCATTTGGAATACATGTTTAAGTGCCATTGTATTTAATAATGATTGGAAAAAACTTGATGCAAAGAAAAATTTAAAAATAATAATCACTTGTGGTAAAGTTTTTGCTAATTTATCTGCTGTTCCCAATGGATCTTTAACAAACTCTTCGAAATTTTTAACAAAAGTTCCAGCAAATGAAAAGACAAGCAAGACATTAAATAACAAAAATATAAAATATCTATGTTTTTTTTATATAAAAAAAATAGATTGTTTGATTAATATATATACTATGTTTATAATTTAAAGTGAATGATGTTGAAATTATTAAACTAGTAATACCACTAACTTTGTAAATGTTGAAAATTCAATCACACTTCGAGCATAAAATCCTTGAAGTTGAGAAAGATCTATTAAAATTAAAAATAATTATGACATCTCTTTACAATAATTATAAAGAACAATTAAAATATATTATTTTTTTTTTACTTACAAGTCATAATGATTGGTAAAACAATATTGAACACAGTGACTGAAAGTGTTGGAAGTGTTCCCTGGATAAAACCTTTTACCATCTCATTTTTTGATGCAAGATCTGCCAACCATGGAAAAACTTTCCTTAAGAATTCTAAATCAAGAAATGTGGCAAAGAACGCAATAGGTCCAGACCAGAAGAATACCAATATAAATATTATGACATTGACCATTGCAGTTCGAATCGCATATTCTCTATTCCTTATTGTAAGGTTATGCCAATATCTATTTATTTTATTTTATATTGAAGAAATTTAATGATCAGTCAATTGAAAATATTTTTTATAAATAATAAAAATTTTGTTAATAGTAATAACAATAAAAAATAAAATCTTACATATCACGAGGTTCTGGTGCAATAACAGTTTCACATTCAAAAGGTTGAGCTTTTATAAGAACCTGAGCAGCTAATTGCTAAAATTATTCATTTGTATGTAAATTTATAAATATACAGTAACATTAGAATTGATATTCAATATAAATGTAAATATAAATATATGTATGTATGGCAATATTTGAGATAATAATAATTACTGCACTGGTTATGCTTTCAAAAGTGACAAAGCCAACAGGTGTAGAGTGATAAGCGCCACTTCTTCCCTGCCTAACTAACATATCAGCCTTGTTAAATTCATTTGTCAAATATTCAATTTTATCTATTTTTTTGCCAAATATTCCAAAAAGTCCAGATCGCATAGTAGGCCGTTCCTTATTAACAGGAGCAAGAACAGCAGCAATTTCTTTATTAGAAGATTCTGGGTTTTTTTTCTGTGCCTCTTCAAATGCTTTTAGTGCTTCTGAGGGTTCATACTTTACATCAGAGCATGGATTGTTCAAGTATTCAGCATATGCCACCTCCAACTTTCTCAATGCATCCATTCTTTCTTGAATTGCATGCCTTAATTTCCTCACATATCGATATATAACAGCAGATTCAACTTGACCAAAACCTAATGAATCATAATATTCAGCTAGTGCTTTGTCTGTTTGTAACTCTTTAGGTATCACTGTTACCATAACTGTTCTAGCTGTGATTGTTTCCTTCCATTTTAAATAATATTTATGTCTGGTCTCTGTGAATTCTCGATAATTAAAGTATAAAAAATAAAAAGTTGCAAGAGAGAATACCCAAGTGAATACAACAAATGAAATCAATTTTATCAATGTTTCCGTTCCTTCATCTACTGGAGTTTGGATTGGTCCATCATCAAAACTAAAATTATTTATGTAACTACTATTACCACCACCACCACCACCACCACCATCATCATCATCATCATCATCATCATTAAAATAATCTAAAACATTAATTGGTCCCAAAAATAACAATGCAACACAACTACAAAAACTAAAGAGTTTACCAGACATTTTGAAAAATGCCAAAAGCTAATATTATAACAATAACAAACAATAATTAGTAAATTACTTGATTTGTTCATTTTCTTAACACGCACATTTATATTGAATTTAGTTAATCAATTACCACAGCAGCATCTAATCCCACTCTCTCTAAAATAACTGATTCAGGTATATCATACAAAGGCTTAATCCATCCAAAGAAAGATGATGGCAAAGGATCTGGTGCAAGTCTATTTAGAATGATTTGTTAATATATGATCAGAAAAGTTTATACAAATATCACTTAAAAAAAAGCATACTTGTTAAGCCTTAAACGTGGAGCAAACATAGTACTCCACTTTGTTCTTAAGAAACAAAACACAAGAAAGGCACTGCCACCAGCCATCGTAGAGATAAATAGTTGAGTAGTTAAAAGTACAGTTTTACCTATAATTGTCAAAATGAAGAAGACGCGATCAGGATAATCGATGTGCAGATCTACACTAAAAAAAAAGGCTCGAGAAATTAATAATAAAATGATGTTAATTTTTTATTCTTACTGGCATCGTCCAACACATCACCAGGAGCTCGTGGTTCTGTTAAACTTGGGTCAACAAACCCAAAAGGTTGTTGTTGTTGTAAGTCGGCATTAATATTCGTTATGTCAAAAGGTTCATCAAAATTTGACATTTTCACTTTTTAATTGTTTAATTTAAAGAAATTTTTAAATTTTTCTGAACTTTTTTCCACATTAACATTATTAAATAATCAGATAATCTAATGAAACTTTGATAATCTTGATTGTAACAATGGGATAAATTGTTGTTGGGAAATTCTTTCAATAAAAGGAAAAAAACGCCGATTTTTATTTTGTTTTGTAAATATGTAGGGTATTGCAAGATATTTTTTCAATTTATTTATTACATAATGTCAATATTAACTTTTTTATTGATTTGTACATAGAATATCTAATAATTAAATAACGGAGGTTTTTTTTTTTAATTTTTCTTCCTTTTCTCGCTTTTATCAGGATCGTTATTGAAAATCCATATTGTACAAAATACCAAGAATCCAATCATCATAGACGCTGCCCCAGTATAATATGGATAAGCTGCTGTTATAAATCTTGGATATTCATTGTGTCTAAAAGGTCTTATGGCCACAGTTGTAGAATCTACTATATAAGTATATCCAGGTCTTTTATAATTGACCTTTAGAGTGAAGACTCCGTATACGTCTGGTAATTTCACATGTGCTATATATTTTCTTGATTTATCCCCAATTGATATTGGTGATGATGTAAGGTTTGTTCGAATATATGGATCTAACATGATAAGTTCTAGTTGTACATCCTTTCCATCAAATGCCTGCCATTTACCATTGGCATATTCGGATATTTCAATTGTATAAACCTATTGTCAAAAAATATATTAATAAAAATGCTAGCAATATATAAAAAAAAAATTTATTTAGTTATAAGATCTTACAATATCATCTTTAATTCGATAAATGTCCAATTGTTCAGTTTCGCCTTCTTTATGATGATTTCGTGAAACAACCTTTAAAACTCCTTTTTCTTGAAATGACCATTCTGTCAAATCTTTTGCAAATGCCTCATTACCTGATTTTGGATATCTGAAAAATAACGTTGTCATTATCAACAATATGATCATCATCACCATAAAAAATAACAAGATGTTTATATTTTAAAAAGCATTATTCGAAAAAAAAAAAATTTACACTTACACCTCTGTAGAATTAAATTTTTGTACTTTTGAGTTAAAGAATCTGTCAAAGTAAAAAAAAAAGCAGATTATTTTAAATCTGGTATTAATTACAAACAATATAATCCCAGAAAAATCTTTACTTACTGATCACTAAATAATTCTAAACTTCCTACAAATGTAGCTCTTGCATTATTTCTTGCTTGTAACGCAGTTACTAGTCCAACTTCATTTCCCACAACTAATGGCTGTTCATCTACCACTTGATCTTTCTTAGTCTCAAATGAGTATGCAGTGTCACCAGCCCATAATATCTTGGTTAACAATGGTATGGTTCCAACTTTGTGCCCCACGCCTCTAAAAAGTACTGGAGGACCTTCAATTACGTTTCTGCTAAGAATTGTTTTGACATTGGTAAATCCATCAGCAACAATAAGTATATGTCTTCCATCATCGGCAGAAGCATCGAAATTAAAGTGATCTATCACAGAAGTATCTCTCTGATCAAATTCTATTGAAAACTCACGTGCAAAATCTCTAACTGTTTCTGATAGATCTGATGATGCTGCTAATAATATGTTGCCACCTTTTTTAAGAAAATCAATCAATGAAGCTGGTTTAATTTCCTGATTATAATCTAAAATAAACATAAATAAAATAAATAAATTGATAAAATGTAATAATGGATGACATTATTTTTTTTAAAGAAAAAATACTTTTTGTTTTTGGTGAAAAGTTGATAATATGATCATAATTTCTTTCTCCAAATTTAAATAATTGGATTGAAGGATCTGTTGTTATCTTGTACGAAAGCACATATTGTCGATCTAGTTCCAGTTCAATAAAAAAAATTTTTTTTAGAATATATATTAACATCTGCAACCAAGTAAACACTATATATATATTATATAAATTTTACCTTTTAAAGATTTAAAAAAACTAGCATATAAATCTTTTTCATCGATTTTGTCAAGCAGCACCAGTATATGATTACCTGTTGTCGATTTAGCTTCTACGTTAATTAAGCAAAGCAAAACTACTATAACAATAGAAAATAGTATGCGATGCATCTTTTTTATTATGTATGGATAATGAAAAAATTCAAACGTTAAAAATTTTTTTTATGTAGATCATGTGCGAAATGTTACGTCACAATATTAGTATTAATATTAAATTAGTGATAATAAACTTGATAAGTCGGCGGACCCATTCGAATTCAATCAACTTGTCGAGTTTACCAATCTTTTCTCCCGGTAACATTACTTTAAAAATTAACTTGAAAACAGCATTCATATACACATGCGAGCCTAGTTTTTATATTGTAATAGTAATCCAAATAAAAATGCGTTATCTTTTCCTGTTCAAGTATAAATGAATGAGTGAATGAATTATTCAAAAGAATTGAATTAAATTAAAAAGATTTTGAAAGAAGTATCTTTATAAATTCATTATTTATTATTAATTATATAAATGACGATGACTATAATACACCACTATAACTCAAACTACCACCACCGCTAACACCAACTCTTTGCCCCCGTACCATTGATACAACAAATACCTGCAGATAGCATTATTATTTGGATCAGAATCTTTATCAATGGTAAATCAAGGAACTTATTTACGGAGTGAACTTATAGCCACATTAAATGACAAGAAATGGGGACCATATAAGAACCTCCATGTAAAAAACATATATGTTGCGGGACCAACTACTATTAAGCTTATAAAAAAATACATCTCTATAAGAATGTTTTTAGAAAAAGTTACTATGTTCCCGACAGGGTTCCCATATAGAGGTCCGACTATAGTTCTTTTTGTTTCCATTAACAAATTTAGAAGTGATGCTTTGAAAAAAAATCCCCCAAAAAAGAACGCGTGCAATAAATATTATAAGTTGATAAAAACATCAACGGGTAGCTTTAAGAATATTGACAACAAAATAATATAATTCAAATGGTAATTATACAAACATCAATCAATTCAGTTCCAAATAGCTTCTACTAAATTGATCAGCAACAATTAATTTCAAAGGTGGTTTTTTCATCAGCAGCAGCAACAATAACAGTTTTTAAGTTCTATAGATCGTTTCATTTCTTAACAAGTATTAACGATGCTATATAAGAGATTATTATAAATACAAATATACATAAAAATTTTAAATAAATATAATAATATAAAAATCAACAATTTCCATTGACAGATTACTAATAGTTAGTTGATGATAAAGACAATTTATCAAGAAAATTATCTGAATTTTCTTTGTAGCAATTGGTTCAATTATTTTCCATTATCAACTTTGAGTCAAATAAACTGTCAAATATTAAAGTATACATACTACTATTATAGGAGAATTTTTGTTACATGGCATTCAATTCTAAAAAAAAAATCTTTTCAATAGATAAATCAAGTCAAATTTTAAATTTTATAAAACATTTATGTCATATAATAAGTTATTATCACTAGAAAAAAGAACAAGGAGCTTTCTTGAAGTAAAAAAAGATTTGTAAAGAAAGATTTATTTATGAGTTTAATCAGATAAAGAAGGAGAGCCAGAAAATGTAACAAGTGTAAATTGACAAGATACTCTGATAAATTTCTATGAAGGTTGTATTAGTTTACAATTACAGAATCTTTTCATTACTTGGATCTGGAAACAACATAATTAATTATATTATTTGACAATGTCAAATGAATCATCTTTTGAGCAATTTGAAAAAGTAACAAAGTTGACAGAAGGTGGATAAGAGGAAAAATATGAAGGAGTTTAATTATTTTGGAGAGCAAAGTGTAGCATTAAAAAGTTTAAATGATACAAGCAATCCAAGAAAAGGCTTTTTTGATGAGGTTGGTAGTTGTCATTTAAAACAAAATATATTATATAATAAATACTAATTAATTTTATATTTATTTTCAGGAAATAAATTAAACCACAATTGATTGTTGCTTGCTATGGTATAACTAAATTACCAGATAATGAGAATTGTGCAATGGTTTAAATTATACTCTGGAAGGAGATTATTTGCAAAAAAATATTTAAATTCAACATCGAAAGACAGAATTATGATCTTTAGATATTTGTATGCTGCATTATGACTTATACATGAAAAAGATTTAATCCATCAAAAAGACCAACTAGTAGAAAACTTTTGGTTTTGGCTAAAAATGAATATGAAGAAATAATGATGATGACAGTAATAATAATAATACCAGTATTAGTAGTGGGAGTAATTCACAACAAGGCACAAACCACACCTAGATGCATATATACAAATGGCATATTAGATTACTAAATCTAAAAGCTTGAAAAGTTATACAAGTAATGTTAGTTCATTAAATGATCTTGATTTTAACTCTATTCCCTTAAATGCTGCTGAAGGTAAATAAAAATTTCATTATTAATTAACTGGATATTAGTAACATTTTTTATTCACATTTAATTAATTAATAAATATAGTAAAAGAAAGAGTTGATGAATGACTCAATTTAATCTCCAAATATAAATTTATTCATTATAATAATATTTATCTCTTTTATTTTATTTCTTAAAGCTAATTGAAATAATAAATAAACTGTTATGTTAAATGGTGATATTGCAAGATGGCCTTTCAGTTAACGTTAGTTATTTAATGTGTGTATGAATTATTACAGCCTAACTTTGGGCTACTCTTGTCAATTAATCACAATAATTCGGTGCTTGTCAATTAATAAGTTTATGAATTTACTTTGGTTCTCATTTACTGTCTCTTTCTTCCATGTGGCTCTGTAAGCATAGCTAATGGTGCCAGATAACTGTAAATAAATAAAGATGGCTATTTCACAAAAGATTTTTATAAAGTTCATTTTATTCACTTTTTTTATTTCAGTCATTTACTCTTGTTTATATTTATTGCAAATTTGTTTTAAACAGGTTGTTCGACTACATTTGCAATAAGAATTTCATTATGTCCAATTAATCTTTAGAGAATACTTCGCTAATGCTCACTAGCTTTGCCTACTCATGAAATGCGACCTTTTGTCAAGCTCCACAATTGTCGCCTTTCTTATCAAGGCATTACAATTGTTGCTTTTACGAAAGCACTTTAAACGAAGAAAATAAAAATAACGTTTTTAAGGAATTATTTAAAATAATAACTCAACTACACAGTTTTACTTTATTAGAATGTTGTTTATTTTTCTCTGCTTTTTCAAATGAGGACCCGAAGTTGTTCCAAACTTTTCAAGTTGCCGAATTTCTAATGTTTATAATAAAATTTTTAGTATTATACGTTCAGGCTTACTTCAAAAAAAAGGTGATATGAGCTTGTTCAAGTTCAGTTCAAGCCCAGAGTTCAATTAAACTTGAACCGAGCCTATGAACACTAGTCACAACTGCTTCATATATGGAACCTAGTGGAGTTTGAATGAAAGCATAAAGAACAGGAGTGAGGTCTTGGCACAGAAATCGAATGCATTTTTGTGGGCCATTTTACAGTTGTTATTTTTTAAAGTAACAGCCAAGTATTATTTGTTGGTTTCATTCTAGTAAAATTAGTAAATGTGATGTGTTATTAATATTAATCAATAATGAATTGTCGCTCAATAATCAACTAGACAATATAAACCTTCGTACAAATATCTTAAATGAATAATTAAATCGCTTTGCAAGTATTGAATTGTGGAAATTTCAATTGTTATGATCATTGTTTTTGAAACCTAATAATATATTAATAAATATTGTATAATTTCAATTAACTTAAATAAACCAAAGCGAATTTGCAATTGGCCAAGAAATATAAACAGGGAAGTGAATAAAATGAACTTCATAAATCCTTTAAGAGCTATCTTTATTTATTTGCAGTTTCTATCAAGTATGCTTGCAGTTTTTGCGTACAAGAAAGAGGCAATAAGCGAGAACCAAAACAAATTCCTTTGTCAGAAGTAGCCCAAAAAATATTCCATAATCAGCCGTAGATGTTGAATAATAGATGTTAACTGAAATGTTTGTTATCTTGCAATATCATTATAATTTAGCATTAAGAAATAAAATAAAAAAATAATTATAATGAATAAATTTATATTGGAGATTAAATTGAGTCATTTTTTTTTCTTACTAGAATCTAATACTAATGTTAATATTAACAATTAAACGGAATAAAAAATATTGTTAGTAATAATTAATTTCCCAATTAATTAATAATAAGCTTGTATCCTTTCTTGAACTCTGGATAACTGACATGATCTATTAATTGTTAGTTATCTTTAATTAAAACTAGACCAGATCAGATCAGATAAAAATTCTTAATTCATAATTTCTTTCATAAATGATTTTTTATACACAATCAAATTTCAAATCAGAGCCTTATATGTGTATAATAAATAAATATGGAGCTGGTCAAGATAATAATAACTATAATTATAGCAATTAAGCAAAAAATAATGTGTGTAATATAATTGTAGGAATAATGCCTCATACAGATGCTGCAACTATTTTTGGTCCTGTGGTATTAAGCCTTTCATTATTATCTTCTTTCTTAACGAAATTTACCCATTCAGAAGATTCTTCAATATGATTTTTATTTTATTTTATTTTTTTACTTTAATAAAGATTTTACTTCATATAATAAAACAAAGATCCTATGGATGTAGATGTCCATACATATAATTTAGAAAACCGTGTCTTTAGTTATGCTAACACCCGGGATCATATTTCTAGGCACCTTAGGTGTGATTGTTGGATGACGGGAGAAGCTATTCTGTTGAGGTGACACATTTTCATGTTTATCGGAGAACCCATTGTCATTCTTATTGGAATAAAAACTGTCAATACGGCACTGGATAGCAAATAAAAAAATATAAGTGTGTGGAAACTCAAAATTTTGACATCATCAAAGAGAAAGATTTACCTTGAAAAAAAAAGCTTCTATTATCAACTTTCGTACAAGGTTAAATTCAGAAAGCTTCTGAGCGAGTTTAATCTCGGAGATTTGAAAATAACGGTAAATACCGTCGTACTCCAAGTCCATTATTCCAAAATAGATATATCCTTCTATAATGTTTTATGAGAAGGTGGATTAAAAAAAAATTGAATCGTAGAAAAAATGCAAAAAGCAGACTTACCACAAATATGTACTCCAAAGGACTTTACTCCTGGTTTGTTTCCACGCGAAGAAATAATGTTGTTGATGCCTCCCTGGCAAAGAATAGCTACCTTGTAAAGATTGTAACCGCCAATTTTACTGTTCCTTGTAATTGAGAAATTTTTGGCTTCGACAAAACATGTTTCTTCGTATTTATCTCTTTCTACGATTCGATACACAATTATATCAGGCTTTCTACCCTGGGAGCGTCCGTAATTCGCACGGTGGCTTCTTGAAGTCAAACTTTCGGTGTTTGCCCTATTAAAGACAAGTAAAAATAAAAGAATGATAAGCAAATATCAAAAAACTTCAACAAAATGTTTTCTTACCAAGAAAGATCATAATTCGAGTCACGAAATATTTCTTTGAAAGTATCATGTACATAATCATGTACAACAGTATCCTCGTTTTTTTTCCTCGAATTCGGATACATGTGCATCCTTTCGTAGCTTGAAGAAGAGATCAGATGGAAAGTTATTGGAGAGAAACAGCAAGGAAAATAAGATTGGAATTAAAGAAACTTACAATGCACGTGCAACTGCTTGCGTGGTTTCAAACAAACATCTCTCATTATCTAAATGAATGACCTTGTCACGATATTTCCCCCATATATCATAAAACTTATAACGAAGCTCGTCTATGTCATTTATTTCCTATTTTTATTACAAAAGATATTAGATTATTATATTATCATAAATCTGCACACACCAGACAACGTGACACTATACCCTTTCATATTCATCCATAATTTCTCCAAAGAAACTGGGTGGGACTGGTTGTTTTGGTTGACGCACCGAAGCACGCCATTTTCGTTCATCTATAACTAAATATGATGGCTTATTCATTCTTGTCATGTCAATAAAACATAATATGGTGAAGAGACCTGTAATACAAAGATTTTATTAGACAGCCAGATATCCTGGCCTTAATTATAAATGTAAAGTCAACCTATACTTACAAGATTGCCTTGACATCTGATGAAAAATGGAAGGTTTCACCATCTTCTAGTTTATCAATATTATTAATTTGATATTTGCGAAATGCATCTGAAACACTATAACTTTCAATAAACCACTAAAACGAGTAAAACAGATGTAATGGTCAGTGCAAAAAATCTTTTTCTGAAACGGATGCAGATCCAGTGAAAACAGAACGATAAACTTACATCCTTCTGTGAGGAAAGATCACAGAGATCCTGACGTATCTTTATATATGCGTCACGCATCATTTGTTTGTTAAATTCCAGATCAGGTTCGATAGGCGATAATTCAGGATTGTTCTCATTGGTTAACTGCCCCGCAATTTCTTCCTCTTCATGAATGATCACTTCTTCCAAATTCGTTATGTTCGCATCATTAAGAGACTCTGGATCCTTTATGTTGATCGTATCTTTCTTTTTTCTACTTTCTGATGGATAGGAATCTGATTTTCGTTTCAAAGCTATTGTTCATGTCATAAAGAAAGGTAAATAATACATAATTCAACACATAATGTAGATGAGTTTGAATGTACAGTATTACCAGATTTTATAGTTTCACGTGTGGTGTTAGAAAGCGCTTCACTGAAATCATAATGTATGTCTAGCATTTGGTGGATTATATTTTTGGAATTCATATCTGATGCTTTTCCTAATGTTTTCATAACAGTAGAACTATTTTTCCAGAAAGCTTTTACGTTGAACGATTTCGATTCCTTCTAAAGTATAAAAAAAAAAAGAGAATTGGTTGCTGTGATACTTTCAGACGCATCTGAAGTAAAAGTACACCCGAACACAGAGACGCATCTCTGAGAGGACTCATCCCCCGGGAATTAAGACTCATCCTAGTACTTTCAGCATTAATAACGGAGCTATAACAAGACACTTCTCTAGACGCATCCAGAGAATCTCAGACGCATCCCAGTCGTTGCTATAGTCCCGGAATAAAACAAATATAAACAAAAAAATTAAGAAAATTTTCAAACCTCAAATGTTTTCAAACATTGCAACGCCAACTGTCTTATTCTTATGGATTCATTGCTGTCATTAGTCTCTATTAATTGAGGATTGATAGAAAGTTGCTCCAAACAAATCTTGTATAACAAATGCTCATCTTGTTTTTCATTGAAATC